GATGAATGTTGGATGATGGATGAATGTTGGATGATGGATGGATGGATGATGGATGGATGAATGTTGGATGATGGATGAATGTTGGATGGATGGATGAATGTTGGATGATGGATGGATGAATGTTGGATGATGGTTAGATGAATGTTGGATGATGGATGAATGTTGGATGATTGATGGATGGATGAATGTTGGATGATGGATGGATGAATGTTGGATGATGGATGGATGAATGTTGGATGATGTTAGATGAATGTTGGATGATGGATGGATGAATGTTGGATGATGGATAGATGAATGTTGGATGATGGATGGATGAATGTTGGATGATGGATGGATGGATGAATGATGGATGATGGATGGATGAATGTTGGATGATGGTTAGATGAATGTTGGATGATGGATAGATGAATGTTGGATGATGGATGGATGGATGAATGTTGGATGATGGTTGGATGAATGTTGGATGCTTAGTGTTTTGTAAAGAATCAGATTTATTGATAAAGGTTCAGTTTGGTTCAGATCTGCTGAGTCATCATGTCAGTAAAATAATCTGCAGCCAATCAGAGGCCTGGATGGACGGTTCACCTGGTCTGAGTCTCCTGGTCTTCGTGGGTCAGACCGAGGTCTCAGCAGGACCAAAACAGGTTCTTCTTGTTGGCAGAGCTGCAAGAACCTGAAGGGACCTGAACCAGAAGAACCAGAACTGTTGTCCTCCTGGTTCTGATCTTTCATCTGGTTCAGGTCTGGTGGTTCTGATCTTTTATCTGGAAGGTTCTGCTGGTTCAGGTCTGGTGGTTCTGATCCGGTGGGTCACGCTCGGTGTGGAAACGCTGCTGAAGGATCAGGAGACTCATGTGGACCCGGGACACGGCTCTGACAGGGGACGCAGTTTGGACAGAGACACAGGTCTGGTGCCGGGAGGCTCCTTTGGACCAAGATCCAGTCTGAGTGGGTCAGAACCGCTGAAAGTTCTGAAGGAGAACAAACGGAAAACATTTGAGTCCAACAGGAAATCAGGACGTCTGCACTTCCTGTTGGAGGAGGAAACATGTGACCTGGTTCTGATCCAGACAACCAGAACCCAAACAGAACCAGGAGTGTCCCTGCAGGACACCGTCCTCAGTAACCTGGACCAGATCCTTAAGTCCTCCATGGGTCTTCTCTGTGAGGAGGTGTCCCCCCGTCCCACTCCCTCTGAGTGAGCCGGTCTTTGGTCCCTGTATGACCTGGGTCAGACCCAGAATCCAGTTCTGAGGAGGACTGGGTCTGCAGCTGGCCCCCACGACCCCCCAGCTCCCCACGCACCTGCCTCCCAGCCCATAATCTGAGGGCGGGACCACCGAGGACCCCCTCATTGAGCTCCTGAGAAAACCCCTTATGTGTGAAACAGCTCCTTTGTTGGGACCAGTTTTATGGACCAACAGAGTCCTTTATGAGGGTCCAGAGGACTCTATGGACCCGGATAATCCTTTCAGCCTGAAGTTTAACCTGCTGTTTTCATATTTATTAGCTGGTTAGAGCAGCTGAACACACACACACACACACACACACACACACACACACACACACACACACACACACACACACACA